GGCACTCATTATCTTATAGTAGCTTCCTATCTAATCTTGCCTCCCATTCCCCTTTGAGTATATTCTAGGCATTGCCACCAAATTACTCTTCTTAAACAACTGTTTTCTTTTCTTTCTTTTTTTTTTTTTAAGATTTTATTTATTTATTTGACACAGAGAGAGAGAGAGATCACAAGCAGGTGGGCAGAGAGGCGAAGCAGCTCCCTGCTGAGCAGAGAGCATGATGTGGGGCTCAATCCCAGGACCCTGAGATCATGACCTGAGCCAAAGGCAGAGGCTCAACCCTCTGAGCCACCCAGGTGCCCTTAAACCACTGTTTTCATTTCAACCTCGAACCCAAAATCTTTTAGGAACTCTCTTCTGACTCCCAGATGCCACATTTCTCAGTTTGGCGTTTATAATCTCCCAGGGTCTGGCTGCCACATATCTTCGCATATCTTTCCAGGCACTATCTACCTGTTCTTGTCCCATGTGCCACTAATCTGCAGGGCTCCCCATCACTGAAGCCATTGTGTATTTTCGTTATAATGCCTTTGCTCTATTTGTACTATTTGTTCTATTTTTTGCTCTATTTGTTCTATCCCAACACCACTTCTCCCCTCCTATGTCTGACCTCAGATGGTGAGCCAGAGACTGCAAGTTATCTCTAACATCTATTTTCTTTAGTATTAGAACTACTGATTTGTAGCTGAGTACATGGCTACTCAATAGAAATGACATGTTTCAGCGCTACTTATAGTTAATTTCTGACCAATAAGGGGTAAGTGTAGTAATGTATACAAGTTCTGCAGTTTTGTTTTTTTTTAAGATTTATTCATTTATTTTAGAGAGTCAGAGAGAAAGAGTGATTGGGGGGAGGGCAGTGGGGAGAGAATTTCAAGCAGACTCCTTGCTGAGTGTGGAGTCTGTTTCAGGGCTTAATCACAAGACTGATGAGATCATGACCTGAGCTGAAACCAAGAGTCAGACGCTTAACTAACTGAGCTACCCAGGTGCCACTGCAAGTTTTCTTAAATAAGAGGGGTGTGTCCTTTTCTGCCCCTATCTCTTTTCTGCTGGCTGGAAATAAGGATGTGATGGCTGAAGCTTCAGCAGCCATTATGGATCATAAGGTAGAAACTGCATGTTCAGGATAATAAAGCCACATGATAAAGAGAGCTTATGTGTTTATCAGAGAGCCACCGTAACAACCCTGAACTGTCTATACTTACATAAGAGAAATCATTTTATTTTGTGTAAGCTACTGCTATTTTGAGTTTTTAACCAGTACAGAAGCCAACCCCTCCATTAAAATACATTGTTCAGGATAATTTTCTGGTGGCCAATGATAGCAATCCATTAAAAATCTAAGCAAAATGGGAGGATTCTTTTAAGAATACAAGGATTTTTCACAGAACCTATGGGTAGGAATGAAGGAAGCTTCAGGGATATATCGGAACCTGGGACTGTGGGAAAGCCTTGAAGTTCTCTCATGGTGTCTCACCTCTCCTTCACTTCTCTCTTACTGTAGATTATGTATGTACCTGGTAGAGAGAAGCAATAAATAAGAATGTGTTTAATAGATGACAATTTAGGTGTCTGTGAGATAATATGGATCTGAAGCCAATTATCAAACTTTTCCTTTATGTAAGTAGTTTGTTAAAGTGACTCTTTGAAGAGAAACATACTCTTTAGCGTCTAAGCTCTTGCATTAACCTTTTTCTCTCAGCCTTCAATTTTTTTGCGGTTTCCAACATCAGTAAAGGGATGTGAGATGCAGAGTTGTCCATAACTGATCTAATAAAAGACACTTCAGAGCAGTTCTGTTTTTGTACAAGAGTTGCAAAAGGAAAATTTTATGGGAATACAAACACTGGCTCAGAAATAATTATTTTGCTAGACAAGGAAATGATAGATATTTTTTGGCTTATTTTTCCCCGTAACCAGCTTCCCCCCCCCCCCTTCTTCTTTTTTTTTTTGCATTGTTATTATTTACTGTCTGGGTTCCTGCTTTTACCAAGTTTTTTGCCCTCGAGGGGCATTCATGACAGCTTATCAAAATGTTTTATATTTTATATTCTTGTCAGCTTATCAAAATGTTTTATAAGATATTTTATATATTTGACCTAGTATTTTGAGTTGCTTTTGGTGGGACAATCGGCCACTCTTTAGTCTATCATACTACTGGACATGAAGTCTAGTATGCTTTTTAGAGTTTTAACTTCATTTGTTTGCAAGATATTACCCCATATTCTGAAGACCTATGCCCTAAGTTTGGTAGCCCAATTTCCCTATCTGTAAAGAGGAAGACTAACTACCCTCCTAAGTATGTCCAATTGTTCTCTGTAAAAGACTCATGAGATAATTAGTGTGAAGTCAGTTTGAAACTGGAAAGTACCCTGTAAATTTTCTGGACTTTATAAACAAAAGAGGCAAACAAACAATAAAAAAATCATAACTAAGGATGAAAACCATAGAATGACTTGTTCAATTTAAAATTTCTAGATATTTGCAATCATCTTATTAATTTTCTGACATCAGTTATGGATGGGAAAGTCTTAAGATTTCTTTAAAAAATACAATATTATTTACATGTTGTATTTGACACTAATTGCATAAGTTATTTTTTAATGAAAGAGAAAGAAGGCACATTTAAGCATACCACAAAATCTGTCATCACGTTTTTAAAGTTTGTGAAGGGTCGGTCCCTTTAAAATATGGGTGAGCAATCTAACCTAAGATGCTTACAACACTTTATATACTTTGCGGGCTGAGATTCTGAGTGTCTCACACTTTGTAATGTATTTTGGTCTCTGTGCTGCAAGGACAATGAAATGTTATTATAGGTAACAACTCATATCACTTTTCTCATTCTCAAACTGTGCTCACAGGTTAAGAATGTGAGAGGAAACACCTTTAAGTACACCTTTAAGAGCCTCTTGGATGCTAGGTGATTTGTAAATGGACCAGCCTGAGACTCAGGCATGACCTTACTGTTTACTATTTCCTGTAGACGGTCCATGTCTTAACTCCTACACTGAACATATCATAGGGCCTATCCTCTAAACATTTATTTTTTTAAAGATTTTATTTATTTATTTGACAGAGAAAGTGGCAGGCAGAGGGAGAGGGAGAAGCAGGCTCCCTGATGAGCAGAGACCCAAATGCGGGGGCTTGATCCCAGGACCCCGGGATCACGACCTGAGCCAAAGGCTGACGCTTACCGACTGAACCACCCAGGTGCCCATCTTCTAAACATTTATACCAAGACAGTACATTTGCATGTATGTCATTTATTTATCTGCATATATTGAGCCAGTCCTACTACGTGTGAGGTCTTATGCTTCTTCTCCAGAAGCTCACAGTTATTAGGAAAGGAGACAAAACTACAATTATCATTCTTTGTGATAAGTGCTAGAAAGAGACAAGGTCCTATGGGAGCACAGTCAAGAGCAACTAACCCGTATTGCGGTGCGATAGGGTTGGATGGCAAGCAACAGTGAAGGGTTCACAACAGAACTGATGCTTAGTCTGAATAATGAAGGATAAGCAGGAATTAGGTAAAGGAAAAGGAGGAGGGTCAGGACTTAAGAAAAAGGAGTAGCATATGTGAACATGACATGTATGAGAGAGTATGACAAGACTGGAGAACCCAGATAGTTTGGTGTATGCTGAATGTATTTATCCCACCTAGTTACTGTTATGCCTGTCTCCCTTGCTATGTTCCAGTTCTTGGGGTGGGATCGTGTATAATGGTTTCTTTGTTCCCATGTAGGCACAGAGACGGAGCACAGTAAATGATGACTAATGGTATTCATTCAGGACATGACACGAATGACAGGAGGTAAGGGAGAATAGTTAGGAGTCCATTAATGGAGGAAGGTTATTATCTAGTGACAGTGAATAGGAAATGGGATAGATTGAAGAATTACTTGGGAATGAGAATGGATAAGACTTGCTCTATTGGCAATGGGGTATGAAAGAGTAAATAATGACTTTCCAGGTTTCTGTTTGGATTATGGGTGGACAGTCACAGTAATGTTATTAATAATAACAGCTGATATTCATTGGGCAGTCTGCATCAGGTAGTACACTGTTTTACATGTATTAGACCATTTAATCTCTCAATGACTCAGTGAGGTAGATATGCTTATTATCCCTACTTACCTTTGAGAAAATCGGGAAAACTAGAGGTCTACTTGCCCCAAATCACCCAGCTAGGGATAGCTGATTTCAGTCCCAGGAATTCTGATTCCTGTAGTCATACACATAATGTACTCTTCTTCACTACCTCTAACAAATGTGATCAATATTTAGAATGATGGTCCTATTCAATGTTTGTCACATAAATTGCATGTCTTTTACTAAACACAGAGGCATATACGGTGATCGCCTCTTTTTGATCCGATTTTGGGACCTCGATTCTGTATTTTTCACTTTTCCTACCCGGAGAAGTGGGGTGGACGTCTGATAAAAAAAGTTAACACAAAAGATGAGAGAGGCGGGTACAAAAGGACATTCTCGAATGCTCAAGCCGCTGCTGAAATGATGGAATCTGGTTCTATCAGGCTTCCTCTGCCCCCATTCCCAGGCGCGCGCACACGCGCGCAAACACACACACACACACACACACACGTCGTAAGCTATATATGGACGCCAAGTTTTAGGTTGGTTCTAGCAGTCCTCAACTCACATCGAAGGTTTATTTTCCGACTCCTGGACAGTCCAACACGAAGTTAACTCGAGGCCGCCTGTAGAGCCCAGGGAAACACCTTCCGGCTAGGCGAGCGCTCGTTTCCAGAGCAACCGCCCGCGGAGGCACCTGGGGCACTCGCCCCGGCACCTGCGAAGAGACCCGCCTGACGCCAGGGGGCGCGGGAGCGCGTCGGCTCCACCCACCCCACGCCGGCCCCACGCCAGCCCCACGCCAGCCCCGCCCCCGGCCCGCCCCCGGCCCCGCCTTCTCTCCATCGGGCCGGGCCGCTCCTGGCTGCCAGCCGCGCTCCCAGCGCAGGCGCAGTCCCGCGCTCCCTCGGCGGCTCCCAGCGCTTTGCGCCCACCGCGACTGAGTGTAGCGGCGTCGGCCGGCCGTCCTCTTCCTCTTTTTCCTGCTTTAGGGCGCGCTCCGTACAGCGCTGAGAGCGCCCCTGAGCGCGGACAGTGACCGCGGTGATTTCGTCAGGTGAGTGCAGCCGCGGGAGGGAGAGGCCCCAGGCGCGGAGCACCGCCCCCCTCGGCGCCCGCGCGCCCGCCTCCCTCCCGCGAGCCGGCCTGGAGGAGCAGCCGTGGCAGGTGCAGGTGCCGGCGCAGCGCGCGGGGACCCGGCCCAGCAGCCCCCAACCCGGCAAGCGCGCTCTCCCGGCTCGGCCCGCGGGCTTTAGGACCCCCGGCGGGAGGGCTCCGCGCCTCACGGGGTGTCTGGGGCCGCTGTGGCGTCGGGCGGCGGCTCCTCCCCCACCCCCCGGACGCGGGCGCGTTACTCATTAACTGCGCGGTCCCGAGCGTCCGCGGCTGTGAACCCGAATCCCGGTTACCTGTCGGCGGGGCGCGCGCGGCTGGCTGCTGGGGGCCCGCGGCCGCGGGGTGGTGGTGGTGGGGTGGTTGTAAGAGAGTTCCCGAACAAGTGTGGAGCCCGGCGCTGCGCGGGACCTGGAGTGGGGCGAAGCAGTAGACTTGGACCTGGAGTCTTAGTAAAGGACAAGCGAGGCTCCGGGCCGAGACATAGAGGTCACACTTGGCAGGTTTCGGCGAAACTTGGGGGGCCAGAGCAAGCGCCGGGAGTCGCGCCTTAGGCGGCAGCGCATTTCGGCCTGACTTTTGTTTCGGGGAATTGAGACGAGCTGCACCGACGTATTTGTAATTACACTGCCCTTCCAGCGTTGACAACTCTCTGCGACTGCCCGGGGACCAGCCAGCTCTAATGGACTCTAGAAGTGATGATGTTAGGTGGAATCTGCAGCACGTGAAGAGTTGCCAGTTGTTATGGGATTAAGAAAACAAATCTGTAATGGCTAAAGGGTAAGGTCTGCAAAATTAAGAATGCTGAGTTAATACTGATCCCTGAGAAGCAATTTAGTTTCGTCGAAATACAGCATATTCCGAGGCTACCTGTTCCACACTCTTGTGTTTCCCCCTCCAACTCCTTTCAGTGTGGGGAAAAAATCCGTGTAATCTTTTGCCGTGGAATGATTACATAATTGGAGAAGACCGATAAGCGGATTAAAACAAAACTGTTCCATTGTAAATCGATTGAAAGACCCAGTTCTGTTCATTTTCCTCATTATTTTGTTCCTTATTATTTTCACGGTTTCTTTAAAACGGTGAATGACAAATCAAGGAGAAAAGAGGCAGAATAGATTTGTAGACCGATCACAGTAAATATTTGATACTGTTAAATATTCCACCAGTTTTATGGGGCCTTGTTCTGTTAATATTTGTTATTTATTTACTAGTCCTGCGCATTTGGATGGAACTTTTCATGTTTGGACAGACACTGAATCCCAACTGTGGTTTATGTGATCTAATCCTAAAACCCTTGTGGAATTTAAAGAAGTTTAACAGTTCTACAATTTTACTACAATAGTGTATTTTTTACGCTATATATATAAATATGTATATAATATATATTTATACACACACACATATATGTAATATATTAGTCTGTACATTTATTAACCAAAGTGGATACTTTAATATAACTTCTCCTTACGTGTTTGGCAAACAATTCAACTGTGGTATTGAATACCTCACACCTTTTCCTAGGATGGATAGTTGCTATTTGGCCACTTGTGGGTTTTCTAATTAGATACACTTTTACTTTTTGAATTAGTATAGTTATGCATATGCTTCCTTTAATATTTTTTCCTTGAATTTTCTCTAAACCCTCAATTCCCCACAACACATACACAGACATTCCACAAATAATTTTTACAGTGGAAGGTTTCTTAGAAATCTAGGTCCGTCCCAATCAATTCTTTATATGGTGGAGCAAAAACTTGGAGGTGACAGTTTGCATGTATTATTTTAGTTAGTGCACCTTTTATTTTCTTTCCTGAGCAGGACTGACTGAACCAATTAGTTACCTAGCAATATGAAAAATTATTAATCGGTTTTAAAGTTTTAGCTCTGTTACTTACTGTGCGTGTGACCTTGAGTAAATCGTTGAACCTCTCAGAGCTTATTTTCTCCATTTGTAAGTGGATAGAGTATTAGGTCAAACCATGTGACTGCCAGTTTTCAACTGTTTTTTAACATGGTTCAAACTAATATGAAAATCATAATGGTGGGATGAGAATTAAATGAGGTACTCCGTTGCGGGAAAGGAACAAATACTAACTTGGTAACTGGTTGCTCTAGGTACTTTGATTCTTTTGGTCCTCAGGACCTGCTGGGATATAAGCGGTATTACCCCATCTATAGATCTGGAAATTGAGATTCAGAGAGGTAAAATACCTTGCCTCTGGTTACTTAGTTGTCAGTGGTCATATAGATGATTAATGGCAGAGCCAGGCCAGGATTGAAAACTGAGTTGGCTGCCCAAAATGGAACTCCTCACATGCTTGCTCCCTCTATTCCTTTCTACATCTTCTGTAGAAGAACATTGTAATTAAAGGGTGACTGCAGAAGAACGGCGTTGTTGTCATCTGTATTTCTGGGTAAAAAGTATCCAGGTTTTCCGGTGACGGTGATACCACTACTGCTACTCCTGCTTTTGAGCTTAGAGCTTACCACGTGGCAGGTTCTGCTCTAAGCACTATCCCAAGTCATATACTCTGACAGTGATTTAGGAGTTAGCTAATGCTTTATCCCATTTTATAGTTGAGAACATTAAGACACTGAAAGGTTATGTAGCTTCCTTTAAGATCGCACAGCAAATTAAGCAACACGACTAGATTAGAAAAGTCAGGCAGTTTGTTTTTAATGGCTGTGCTCTTCGCCACTGCACTCTACTGCTTCATGTGTAGGTTGTAATGCCGAATTGTTTTTAATTAAGCTTTTATGAGATACTTAATATAATAAGTAATTCTTTATGTGTCACCAGAGATTTTCAAATCAAATATTCATTGAGCATCTACTCTGCAAGTCACAGTGGGGGGGGGTGGTTGAAGGAAAGTATTCATGGAGTCTAGAAGGCAGGCCTTATAATCATTCCCGTATCTTTTATAAGGTTCTCAAAATTTATTTTTTATTTTTATTTATTTATTTTTAAAGATTTTATTTATTTATTTGACAGATCACAAGTAGGCAGAGAGGCAGGAAGAGACAGGGGGTAAGCAGGCTCCTTGCTGAGCAGAGAGCCCAATGCAGGGCTCAATCCCAGGACCCTGAGATCATGACCTGAGCCAAAGGCAGAGGCTTAACCCACTGAGCCACCTAGGCTCCCCAAGGTTCTCAAAATTTAGAACATATACGTCACATATGTGTTGTAGTTTTAATGCATGCCAAATAAGACAAAGCGTTAGAATAGTTGGAGAGTGGGGAGGAAGGATGAGTCGTTGGTAGAGATATTGCGTGTTGAGGAAATGAGGGAAAACTTCCAGGATATTCTGAGGGAGTACACTTTTTCAAGTGTAAAGCTTTGTCTTAGAGTTTTGGTCAAGGTGTAGTTCATTAAAGGACAGTAAATTGTTACTAAATTAATTACTTAAACACACTTGGGTATTTTAAAAATAAAATATCTGAGCTTTTGAAAACTCCTTGCTAGCTAATTCCTCCCTTTCTCTACTGTTCTCCCTAGCTTTGCCAGCTAGTAGTTGTGTGTGTGTGTGTGTGTGTGTGTGCGCATGTGTGTTTTCTCTTTTATGCTTCCAGAGTACTGAGTACATGCCTCTCTTTTGGTATTCATTAGTTTTGGTATTCATATTGCCTTGTAAATCTTCACAGTGTGTTCTCTTCCTCTAATGTACATGTGCTTTGAAGGCAGGGCACAAGTCATCCTACCCCCCATTTTATAGCTTTAGCACTGGGCCTGGAACCCATAGGTACTGGGCTGTGTAGTGATGGGTATCAGTGGAAAAATATTACGATATGTTGAAATTGATCTAGCAGCAGTAATGGAAGTGTGTTCTGAGTAAGAGCTGGGGGGACTAAGGGAAGAAAGGGAAGGATATACTTCCAGCAGCTAGCATTAACTTGCTATCTTTGTTTTTCTCTTCTGCTTTCCCTTTCAACTTAAAACTAAATGAGGTAGTTTCATAAGCTTAAATTCTACCTAGTCATGGTTAGAAAAAAGTGAAAAAGTAATCTTGATTTATCTTAGAATATTGGCAGCAGAAAGTGAGATAGCTGTAGCCATTAGCTGAGATTACTTAGAGGAAGAGAATGGAAAATTTTGAAGTCGTTCAAGTTTGTGGGGATTTGTTTCTTGTTCTTAAGAACAGGGTTGTAGGGCTCCTGGGTGGCTCAGTGGGTTAAGCCTCTGCCTTCAGCTCAGGTCATGATCTCAGGGTCCTGGGATCGAGTCCCGCATCCGGCTCTCTGCTCCGCAGGGAGCCTGCTTCCTCCTCTCTCTCTCTGCCTGCCTCTCTGCCTACTTGTGATCTCTGTCTGTCAAATAAATAAATAAAATATTTAAAAAAAAAAAGAACAGGGTTGTAAACATAATTATAACTGAAGTTGATAGAATTCTACATATATGGATTGACAATCTGGTATAAAGAAACTATGCAAGAATGAGATTACCTTAGAAGCTTAAAAGAACATATAGATGATAGCTTAGAATTAATTAAATAAATGAATTGTAATATGATGGGTTTGGATAATGTTATTAAGTATTTGTTGGGAGCGCCAAGGTTGACAGATCAGGATCAGATATAAAAAAATCATCCAAAATAAGTTAAAAAAAACAATAAGTCAAAGTGTATTAATTTCCTTTTAGGAAGAGAATTGTATTTGAACTTTATACCTCAGGGAAAAGAAAAAACAACCCTGTTTTCCCTTTTATATCAGATAAATAAGGATCCCTTCTGGTTATAAGATCCCTTAGATTTTCACTTTTGTGTATTCCATAGATTTTTACAGATAGCACACGTTTGTGTTGTGCTTTGCAATCTCCGCAACATTTTTACACGGACCGGTGAGCCATTTGATTTCGTCGGATACAGGAATGGGGGGTAATGCCACCCATTATAGACGCTGAAACTGAGGTCCAGAGAAATTAAGTGACTTGTGCAAGTTTGCACAGCTAGTTAATGACAAAATCTGAGTTAGAAGGAAGGTTTTTCTAAAACTACTTTGATAAAATGCTCAGGATCCCCAAACATTTTAAAAACTCAGTTTCTCTGGTCTTGATATTCTCCCAAGGTGCTTACTGTTATATCTATATTTTTGAAACAAAGGTAGCCTGAAATCACTCTCTGTACTCTTTCTGCTTTGCTATTTGTTCTCTCTCTAAAGACTCTCACTGTTTATTTAGCCAAAGAATATACACCTCAGTGCCTGTTGAGTGTCAACATATATTCTTATGCAAAATAAGGAGTCTTCCGCTATTAAGAAAACTATTGGAAAATGTTTTTTATATTTCTTTTCTAAGGATTTGTAGTTAAATACAGTATTAGTAAGCCAGTTGTTAAGTTCTGAGTATTTTCTGAAAATCCTTAAAGAATCTGCAATAACTAGCGTCTCTAAAACACATTTGCATCCTGTAGAATTGGTAAATGCAACTTAATTTGTGCTCTGTTTTAATAAGGGTGGAAAGATTGTGTAGCTTGACTGACCATCTGATTAATTTTTCCCTTTGGTTATTAATTAAATTTATGCTTACCAACATAGGACGCTTCTTAAAATATAAATGTGATCTTTTTTGTTAATATCAAAATGTTTAGTGAATGTTAGTGAAAAAAGGATTAATATTTTCCCCCTTATTTATATAGTACTTGAATAAATTTGAAAGCTGTCTAATTATGGAGAATTTCAAATAAAATCAGTAGATGCAAAAACGTAGTGAACCTCAGAGTTCCTATCATTTAGCCCAGGAGTCAGCAAGAAGGGTCAGTCCTGCTACATCTACTTCTCCCCTT